TGTGGTGCTGCAGAATTCAACTGAGGATATAGTCAGGCAGTCAGGGAATACTTTTAGGACCTCCCTAAACCCACTGACATGCCTTCTGAAGGGGGGACTGGGGACTATAGGGGAACTTTAATTTTTGTAATTAAAATGAAAACTTTATGTCTACAGAAACAAAATTATCTACAACTGATACTAACAACTTTTATGTGCTAAACCGAATTACTGATAAGGCATCAGTAGGCAAAAAAGCAACACAAACAAAAACACTTTAAGCATCAGCTGGCTTCAGTTTGTTTGCTAAATTACTCACTGAGGTTTAGATGAACAAGGTCCTTAACTTAAAGATCAAGTGTCAGAAAGAAGAGGGACATGTCTGTAAAGGTTCTCAGTCATCCAGGTCATCGTGGTCTAAAGAGCTTGGAAAGAAAAGCGTCTGGACTTCTTTAAGTTTCTTGAAGATGTTTCACCTCTCATCCGAGAAGCTTCTTCAGTTCTAAAAACTGAAGAAGATGAACCATTTTCTTTCCAAGCTCTTTAGACAAAGAAGAGGGATATTTTCACAAAGAGAGTAACAACTGGTTCAACAGATGCTTAGAAGAGCTCATCTACACCAATAATGAACCCTCTTTTGAAGTGAACTGCTGATAGTCAAGCTATCAGCAGTCCTGACCTGCTGATAGCTTGACTATCAGCAGGTCAGGATGACACAGAACAGAAATATGAGCAATCCAAACAGTGTGCAGCGCCATGAAATCTGTGCCCCTCATCTGACCCAGTAACCCGTTTCTTCACTTCTGGCTAAAGCATTTTTCTTTACATATGAATCCAAAATTCCAAATTCAATGGAAAAAGTACCTGTGGATACAGTAGCATGACTGCCTTGTTTAAAGGCACTACTAAATTGTAATCTCAAAAAAGAAAAAAAGAACATCCTATTTTGCATTATATGCAAGGAATGACAAGAACACCCCTGTTGCATGTGAAAATCCTTCTGCTCTAATTTACACAGTAGCACATTAAGGTTCAACACGAGAAAGCAAACAAATTGCAAACAAATTTACAGCTGCATACAATGCAACTCCCACACGATTTTATAAGACAGCATTGTGAAGTGACAATAAAAGCTAAAATCCCTAATTACAGACTAAAGTACAGGAATAAACCTAAGGGAATAAACCCTGAGGTGGATCTGTCTGCTTGATTCTCTTTTAAGTATTCAGGTGGAAAACATGAGTGATAAATGAGTGGAAAATATGCATTGCCTTATCTGTCTGTGTCTTCCATCAGAGGTTTCTCACAGCTGTAAATATGGAGAACATCTGGCCCTCAAATGTAGATCAACAGCAAGGTGAACACAGGTTAGGGACATTTTTTGCCAGCACTTTGTCTTAGGAGAAAGCATGAGGACAGCATATTTCCAATATATCACATGGTTAACTTTAGAACTAACCGGCCATTTCTCAGGACTTCTTGAACTTAAAATGACTTTTGACTTATTGCTTTTGGCTCACAAAAATTAAACCACAGATAGGTAAGCACGCAATTCCACACATGCAAACAAACCTAGATAATCTGAGTAAAGTATAAGTTAGCACCAGGTGAACAGGCATTTCTGCAGGGTTAAAAGAAACTATCTGCTTCACAAGTAAGCAAACGAGATTTGCTAATGATCACATCTGGCAAAATTATGGACAAAGGGAGTTACTGAACTTTTGAGAAACTGAGGAAAAATTAGAGAACCAGTAAATAAAGTCATACCAGTGCTATGGATGGAATCATAACATTTACTGAGCTTTTATGTCATCAGACCCATCTCCAATGACAACTGAGCAAAACTGCCTCCCTAAACGGGTTTTGTCAAACCACCCTGAAATCATTTTGGGAACAGCGATCTGTGGTGGATGCATGCAACTGTGCCCAGCTGTGTACTAACCGCAATCAGATAATTGGTTGACAAAATGCAGAGGACAATTTACCAGTAAGCTAAACTTGTGACGTCCACTAAAATTCAACAAAACAGGCAAAAATGACTTGACTAATCCACAAGACTCAGATAAATTACCTAACTAAACATTTAGATGCCTGCACGTCTTAACATCAACATAATTCTTATATCAACTTTCAGCCTAGTTTGACCTAGTTTGTGGCAAGGCTGTACTGGTTTTTACAGCAAAACCCTCATTTTTTATAATGTATTCTGTATGCAAAGGCCTGTTACATGAATGTGAGAATGTAAATACTACTAGAGTATATGTTCATCATTATTACATTATATACATTTACTTTCTGATAAGATATATATCACTATTTCAATCTACAACCCGACACGTGTGTTGGAAAGTAAGATAAAGTCTATTGATTCAACATGTCTTGTTTCTGAATTTCTGATTTGTCCCATCAAGTAAAACAAAATGTACAGAAGTACTAATGTTGAGCAAGCACGCCCTGACTGATGAAGTGTGTCTTCAAACTCTGCAGATCACTGTACTTCAGCCAGATAATGGCTATGAACCAAGCTTTCCACTTTCAAGCTGGGAAATCTGAATGTATCATTGTGCTCCAAAGTTTCGCTGAATTGAGTTACAAAAATGGACATGCAGATTTAAAACATGTGCCTTGAGTTGACAACACAGTCAACAAATCTTAAAAGATGTTCAGCAAAGGCTGTGATATTATAACATAGAATCTATATTTTAGATTTTATTTTTTATAAGTATTCTTGCTTTGGATATTTTCAAAGGAATGCGTTGCTTTATTAAAAAGGCACTATATATGTTGTTAGTCACTAAAAGCATGTTGGTATAAAGCAGCACTGTAATGGCAATTCAAAGTAAACACATATCTTTTCTGTTTTCTTTGGTGCAACTCCCCACATTCCATGAATTGTTTTCTTCTAGATTGATGGCAGGCCAGGCAAAGATAAACAGTTTTAAATCCTTGTGGATAACTTTTAATAATTCATAGATCACAGAACAACCCCTGCAACAGATTGGCAACCTGGGTAGGGTGTACTCTGCATCTCGATCCGTGATAACTTTGATAAGCTCCAGCCTAACCATTTGCAAAAGAAGATGGATGGATGACAGCACAAACTAAACCCTTTCAATATTTTTTTTTAATTGAAAGCAGCTTTGAGTCACAGGTGAGTAAAGATATCACAGGTCACATGATTTTTCATTACCGAGGCATTTTGACCGTGGGTGATGTAACTTAGCATTAAACTATTCACGCTATCGAGTACAGAGCTCACAGTGTCTATGATCTGAAGATTCCTGCATGCATATGCACCTATGCCCTGGCTCCAAGGATTGGATTCTCCCAGTCAAACAAGTGCAGGATCAGGAAGTTCTAGTTTCAGAGTTTTGCTGACTTATGATCGCTTCAATGGGAGAAGCCCCAATAATAAAACTGGCTGAAGTGCCATTATAGTAATTCAAGTCTCCGGTGTGGTACTAGAATCCAGACTGAACACTTAGATGTATCAGACATGAAAATGTGGCTACCGGAAGCAAAGATAAAAAAAAACGAATGACAAAAGATCCTGTAGCAATCTGTCTTGATGTGTTACATTGTGTACAGCAATCAACCAGCTCGGAAACCAGCTTGTTTGCTTTTGCTTATTTAGGTCTGATGGCTGCAGTGTTTTGGTTCCCTGCTGTGTGTAGTCTTTCGTTGGCTCATTTTCATTCATCTTCAGTCCTGAAAGCCCTTGAACCTAACCACCAGAGGAATGTTTTTTCTTTGTTTGTTAAGCAACTTAACACAGGCCTATGAATCATTTAAGCAAAGAAATACCAAACTCAAGGGATGAACCAGTGCTGTATCTATGCATCACAGACAATTTAACTGGAACCAGTTTTAAACTTTGCTACCAGTCACAGAGAATCAGGGAGAAAAGGATGAGTTATGCCAACTTACAAAAGAACTGGACTAAAGATCAGTGCCAACAGGTCTTGTGGAATGATAAATCCAATATTTTTATGGGGGCTTTTTAGCCTTTATTGTGATAGGAAAGTGCAGAAAAGACAGGAAAGCTGAGTGAAAGACTAGGGGAAGAATGCATAAAATGGCCTTGGGGCAAATTTGAAACCAGACCTCTGCATTAGCCTTATAATATATGGGAGGCTTGCTGAACTTACTGAGCTAAACTGGCACCCCAATGATTTGTTGTTCTATGTATGAAGGAGGTAAAGAGAGAGGTACAGCCATCTGTAAGACACAGAAGGCTCTGTCATGGCTCGGTGCTGGATTTCAGCCAGTAGCATTAGGGATATTGTCAAAACTGATGGAATTATGGATGTAGAAAATTACCATCAATTGAACACTTTCAGTCATGAATAGGCCTCCCCAGAGCTTGGACCTCCACATTATTGAAGCAGTTTGCGTCCATCTTTACGGAATCAAAGGAATCAAAGGCAGCCAACATCCAAAGAAGAAGAGCTTTGGATGTTTTTAAGAAGCCTGGAGAACTATTCCTGAAGACTACATAAAGAGGAGTTCAAGATGTGTTGAAGAATAATGATTGTCATACCAAAAATTGACTTTCATCACTGGAATTATAGAATCTGTACTTTTGGCTTGCATGAATTCACATGTTTCAAAAAAATGCTGCACCTATTTCTTATTTTCATAGCATAATGTAAAGAAATGAACAGTACCTCAAGAATTTTGTATAGTATTGTAGATATCGCACTATAGATTGCATGGTTACATAGGCTACCTTGCTCACTAACCTAGCTAGGGTTAGCTCCCTACAAAAAAAATGTGAATATTGCTAAAATGTTAAACTCAGTTCAACCCACAAACTGATAGGTGACATCAAGTAAATCATTTGTCACATTTAAAGTATTGGGTTGACTATATTACGCAGTGAGTACAGACAAAGACACCTTAATAAGTCGTCCCAGAGGAGATCATTCAGTTTTCATTGGAATATGAAGCAAAGATATTTTTTGAGGCACATCATTGCATATTTATCTATGCACAAAAACAAACAGTAATCAGAGTCTTACCTGTGGTGTAGCAGGGTTGAAGGCCACATTAAGCACAGTGTCTGAGTGGTTTTGTAATCTGTGGAGATAGTTGCTGCTACGGATGTCATACACATAGGCCTGCAATTAAGGACACAATGAATGTATACAGAAGCTTAGTGTGTACCATTGTACTTACAACACACAATTATGTTCTGACGAGCATGATGATAATGCAGATCAACTTGAGTATCATTTCAGCTTCAAGGGTAAATGTTTATCTTTTTTTGTACTTCCAGACACAAATGACATTTAATATACAGTGCATGTATATAGTAAAATGTCCAGCCAAGATTGATTGCTAGGGGTAAATGTCCAAAGCCCAAATTTCTTGTAAACAGGAGTATTAAAGCGATTAAAGCTTGTCCAGAAATCAGACATGTAGCAGATACTAAAAGTCACGCCAAAGTCAATCATCCTTCGTGCTGGACTAATCTCAAAATAACTGAAGTTCAATAGAGTAAATAAACAGGGAATTTTAGCAGTTTTTCAGTAATTAACAAAATCTGTAATTTATCAAAACACGGTTTGCATTCTTTTTATGTCCTATGCTTCTTCTTATATTTACTGAGTAGTTTCCTGATTCCCGAGTGCTCGGATAACCTGTGATATAAATAATGGTAAACAGTGATGAAGAAGGTCACTTTAAACACCTGAGTGTTGGATGCTGATTTTCAGCTTTAAAAACTGTGTAAGTGTAAATTTTAATATTAAAGCATAAATACTCATACTGAAGTTTGTTGCACAGACAGATCTCAAAATAGTGAACATCTCAAAATCAAGCTGCCATTACCAGTTATAACAAAGCCTTGCAGATACTGCGTGTTACTAGTGTATTTTGCTTTGAGGTAGTTAGGAATTGTTAATCACCCCTGTGAGAGTTGTGGATTTTATACCTCCTCTCGTTGATTTAAAAAAGAAAAACCCCAAAAATCGTTAGCGTACTGAATGTCTCCATCTGTTTCATTTGAGACCTTAGAACAGAAAGTTTGTTATTGTATGCTTTTTCTAAATATAATCAGTAAGTTTTTAGAAAAATGCATTAACCTCAGTGCCATAAGGACAGATAAAAACAGATGTGGGGATGTCTGCTACAAGATGAAGACTCATCAAATTCCTGCAGCTGTTTTGTATCATGTTTCCCCGAAAAAAAGAAAAAAAAAACCCTGCTTCAATTGAATCCTGTCAAAAGAGTGACTCCTGTCTAAGGCTTATGAAGTGTGTGATGCCTGAAAGGGATTTAGGTATATGGAAGAAAAAAGTTATCTTAGGAATGTTTTAATATCACATGGATCACATGATGTATTAGTTTATGTCAATAGTAACTGAAACGGAGCAGAGCCCAGGGTCAGGAGGGTTTGCAATATATCACTGAGCATATATTCTGATTAATAAATTGATAATTAAGTCACAGTTTCATGATTAGAAATAATACATATTTCATCTGTATATAGAAAAGCTTAATATCAGCCATGCTAAAATGATATTCCACTTCGGTTACTTTTGGGCTAAGTTTTTTGGAAAATGTGTAATATGATCTAGGGAGTCTTTTTTAGACTATTCAGGTTCCTTTTTTTTTTTCCATGATTGCTTTTTGATATATTAAGACAAGTACAAATGTGTCTGGCTCAAATAAGTCTCAAGGCAGCTACAAATAAATACGATGTAGCTCACTACCGTATACTCTCCCGGTTTCCAAGAAACGCTGGAAATGACCGATCTCAACAGAGATGCAAAAGTCTGTGCTGTGCTGAGTCCCCATAATTAATAAGAATCAGCAGCATGCATATATTATTCCACTGCTTTCAACAAGCACGTATACGAGAAGAACAGAGAGATGGATAAGGAAAAGGGAGGCTGTCTTCTGGAAACGTCTTGAAAGTCAGGCAAGCTCTGGAAAAGCAATTAAACAGTTGTGCTTCAACATGAATGTTGACTTCTTTGGAAAAAGGGTTGAATCCAAATAAAAATCTCTGAGTCAAGCACAAACAGTCCTTTCCTTAAATGGAGGTAAAACTGATAAAGATATTAATCATTTTTGCTGCTATTTTTACCTTCCTAAGGTCAGTTATGTTGTAGTTTTAACTTGGATGACAACATTTATTAGCCAAACATTAGCAGGTAGAGAACTCTAAAACTAGGGTGCCACATGTGAGACAGCTCTGGCATCCATGCGAGCAAGTCTGAGACTGAAAGTGAATCTATAGGAAGGAGCAGGCGGTGAGGAGATACGGCATCTTGGGAGATATGAAAAGGTTAGGGTTTGGGAATTAATTTTTAAAGTTAATCTTGTAGGTCTCAGTGATTTTGCGATGAGAAATACTACTGTGTCAGGTCTTTGCTGGATTATTCCTGTTTCTTAAGGACATGAGATGCACTTGATCAGCGTGTCCGATGACATGAGAAAGCCAACTCTGCTTTTAAGTGCTTTTTACGTTAGTTCTGCATAACCTATGTAGACTTTATCAATCAATAAATAAATCAATCAAACCGTCTGACGCTTTGACCTCACCCTCAACCAGGCTGCCCATCCCTGAGCCTGGTTCTGCCAGACATTTCTTCCTGTTAAAAGGGAGCTTTTCCTTCCCACTGTTGCCAAATGGATGCTTGTAGTGGGTTGTTTGACTTGTGGGGTTTTCAGTTATTGTACAATCTTTACCTTACATTATAAAGCACCTTGAGGCAACTGTTGTTGGTGCAATATAAATAAACCCGAATTGAACTTTTATAGGAAAAAACAAGATGAAGAACAGCTTAGATATTGCAAAAGGTCAAAACTTTTCTGTTTCACTTTATAATGTTTTAATCCCTATGATGATTTTTTTTTTATCTGTTTGCAATGTATACAGGTGGCTTTGATGGACCCAGTGAGACTGCTTACACAGTTATCCTCAGAGCCTGTGGCAATGAAGCGTCCACATGGCGAAACGGCTGAAGAGCAGGGCTGGCAGCGATTTACATGGTTCTCATAACGCCGTACACACCTGGTGAGAAGAAGCACACAGTGGTAAGAAATCACTGATGTTAATAAATTCAAACAACTTTATGTGACGGACAGACTTGATGCGTGACCAGTGATCCTTTATATTAGTTTGTATGTTATAAGGAAATCTAAAAGGTTTTACTGGGTCTAGTAAACTTAAAATAAATGTTTGGGAACTGGGATATCTTTGCTATGCATGCTATTTCACAGTGCACACATTACGATGCTGAAGCGTTGAGCTGAAGGTGCAAAATATATGGAACAGAAGGAGAATGGCACTCCATGGACTGCTTTACAAACAACTGAACCAGCTGAGCACAGGGAGTTGAGCATGACTCAAGGAAAACACAGGAAAGAGACTTCGTTAATGAAAAATGTTTCCCTCATGCAACTTCTGTGCTGTTTCATTTGGTTTGCAAAGGCATGTAATGTCTTTGCAATGCCACTAACAGGTAACTAAGCTAGTGCCTCTATATGGGCTGGCATACTGGCAGGCCAGTCCTTTGACAGCATCTGGTGAGAGCATGTCTTTGACATTCACATGCTAATGTCATTAAGTTGGGCTAAAAGTAGGGCATATTCACTGACCATAAAGAAATCTGATATACCCAGTACCAGAACTTTATGGAACTTATAATGTTGAGTTGGTGCTAAGACTGTGCCAGAAAACTGTTGATTCAGTTTAATGGCATGCTTACTTTCATTGCTCTTCTCTCGTATTCAATGGGATTACTTAATTATCTCTTTTTTTCAGGATGACGACATTGTCAGCTGACTATGACATTTGCTCATGTAGCCCTCAATAAAAAGGCCATATGACAGAACAGAGGCAACAAGATGGGACAGTCCATAGGTTTTGCTCTTCAGATTTTGGAAAGATTTCGAACAGTTATTTCTTAAATATTGAACTTTTTCGTCACAAAAAAACTTCTTTTCTTTTATAATACACAAACTTTCTGTCTGTGTTTGCTTCATTTTTCATCAACTCCTACAAGATCAGGAGTTTAGCAGCCAAACTTGACATGCAGGCACATTTTAGGCCCATGAAGGTTCTTATCTATATCAGCAATGGTTACAGGTGCATCTTCACCATATAAAAGTGTTTTATCAATTTAAATTTACGACGATAAAGTCTTATTTATATCCACAAAAGCTATTTTTAAAATCATACACTAAAGCTATATAGTGTTGCCTAGCAACAACCTAGCAACAAAACCAATTTTTGTATTTATGCACTGAAAATTATTAAAGAGGATTAGGGCCACTGGGGAAAAAAAGTGGTCACGTTTTTATTTTCTTCTTTTCCAGACTGACTTTTTTCTCGGAATTCTGACTTTTTCCTCTGAATGATTTTTTCTCAGAATCCTGACTTTTTTCCCCAGAATTTTGAGATTAAAGTCAGAATTCTGACTTTTTTCTCAGAATTCTGTAAAAGAAGAAAAAAAAAAGACTTGCCCACTTTTTTTTTCGGTGGCCCTAATCCTCTTTCGTAGAAAATACCTCATAGAAACATAATTTGAATTTCAACAGCACAAACAGGCCAAACAATACTGTAGCACATAGAAGTTATTTAGATGAACAGCGAGATAACTGGGAATTACCTGTTCTGATTTCTAGGGCAACATTACTACATCTTAACATTTCTGCGCTGCAACAGTGCTTACACAAATTGTCACTACTGCACTTTAAAAAACACTTTAGCAGTTCACAGTAAGCACTCATCTGGTTTTGTAGGCCAGAGCGTGAAGATAATGTTTTGACTGAAGAAGGGAAGATGAGTTACACACATACACACTCTATGTTGTGTAAGTGATAACTATCTGGCATTTTACAGATCACTACACCAGAGGGTATGATCCTCTTGAGTGAGAGCCAATACAGTTATTGAATCCACTTGGGTATTCGGTGTAATCATCAAGGTAATCAGCAGGGTAATCCTAGCTCATTATATTCTGCCAATACATTTCAGAATATTTAACTGCCACAGAGCATATCGGATAAGAGCTGGCTTTTTCTTAATATTACTTCATGTAAATACATTGTTTATGTATTTCTTCACATAGATTCAGACGGATTAAATTATGGAAAGAGAAGCAGATCACCATCTGTTCTCTATTTTTAGAATCAGCATGTCATCGATTTTGAATCATGCTTAATGCTGGTGTGTACACCCTTCAACTGGAACATTGCATACATATCAAAATACAAGTGGTGACTGAAAGGTTATGGCTTTAAAAGTACTTTAACCAATATAGTGGATCTATACAGTATACTAAACTAATTGTTTGGCAAAGTGGCCATGGTCATCACGTGCTGATGGACAACAGCTGTCCTGGCAATCCTGCAGCTGTCAAACGAAACATGACCACTTATTTAATCAGCACCTTCTAAGAAAATGCCTCGTCTGATTGAGTTCCTGAGTAATCTTATTCTCTGCTTGTCAGCACAAATTCATCGCATAAAATTTTTCGATGAAAAGACATTTCCATTTTAACTATTGTGCATTTCTATTGAAATAATTTAACGCCATAACAATTATCATGGGATAGAGACAACATTTGCGTCACATATCTGAAATGTCCCGGTACATATAAGGGTCAGTTCATCAAACTTACACAAACACGCACACAGTCGTGTTTTCATATCGTTGTGCGGACATCTAAGTGACAAAATGCTTTCCCTAGCCACTTGCATTAAACCTAACCTTTAAAAGTGAATGCAAAGCCCTAACCCTTACCCTATTCCGAACGCATAACCTAATTGTATCCCTGACACTAAAACCACATTTTGAGTCTCAAAAATGCCTTTAAACTTATGGGGCGATAGATTTTGTCCCCATAAGGGACTTGTTGGTCCCCGCAAGTTTAGTAAACTTCGAATTTTGGGTCCCTGCAAAGATATTTGATAAACAATTTTTAACACTGATTTGATTACTTTGATTAGCAGTAAACAAGACTGAAAT